TAGTTTCATCAGTCCACAAAACATTTTGCCAATACTGCTGTGGAGTGTCAATGTGCTCTTTCACAAACTTCAGGCGTGCAGCAGCTTCCTTCATGGTGTCCTGCCATAGACACCCTGCTTGTTCAATGTTTTACGTACTGTAGACTCATGAACATAGATGTTATCCAGTTCCAATGATGCCTTCAAATCTTTGGCTGTCACTCGGGGTTGTTTCTTTACCTCATTGATAAGTCTTCGTTGTGCTCTTGGGGTCATTTTGACTTGGCGCCCACTTCTTGGTAGAGTAGCCACCGTCCCAAAGTGTCTCCATTTGTAGATCGTTTGCCTAACTGTAAACTGGTGAATTTCTAAAGTCTTTGAAATCACTTTATAACCCTTTCCAGCTTTAGGTAAATCAACAATTCTTGATCGTAGATAATCTGAAAGCTCTTTTTGGTGAGGCATGGCTCACATAAGCATATTCTTCTTGTGTGGAGCAAACTCCAAAGGTTTGAGTGGTTTTTATCAGTCAAAGTAGCTCTAGTCCACACCTCCAAACTCATTTTCACACCTGACTCCAATTAGCTTTTTTGAGGTCATTAACTCAAGGGTTCACATACTTTTTCCACTAGTACTATGAGATTTTTATGGTTGTTCTCAATAAAGACATGAAAGATCAAAATTGTGTTTGTGTTATTATTTTAGGCACATTATATTTGTCAGTACTCTTGACTTAGATGAAGATCAGATCACATTTTATGACAAATTAATGCAGAAAACCATGAAATTCCAAAAGGTTCACATACTTTTTCTTGCCACTGTAGTGGTCTTGGCTGGTCAGACCCACATCAGACAGCTGATTCTGGTGCAGCAGGATGAACAACCATTGCTATTATTAGACCTGTTGTTTCAATGTAAAATTGGCACCAGAGTGAGACCAGTTCTGTTTAAATTCTGCAGCTTCTCAATATCCAAATCTTTCAGACGGCCACACCGTGAATGCCTCGCTGCTGCCTCCTGGACACTCTCAGAAATCCACAGTGGAATTAAAATACCTGAGAGCTCAATGTCTAGACTGCTTCGGATGTCATCAGATCGTCACAGTTCACAAAGTCACAGGAAGCTGATGGGTTTGTTTACAGCTCAATTTCCACAGATTTCTTCATGGTTTAAAAACGAGAAGCTCAGGGCTCTCTGTTCTACATTGCTCACGTATTTGTACCTCCTCTAGTATTCCTGTACTAATATGATGATAGTTACACAGCACTTTGTACAATGTTCACTCAAGAAACTGTAAGTCTTAGTTGTTAGGTCTGTGATTAAAGATGATGAGTTATGTGCAGTGAACAGCTCATGATCCTATGAGCTACTTCAAACTTTAAAGAGACACTGATGTAATTACCTGAATTATACAATACCAGCATGTAATGATGTCACTGTATACAGCACAGACACCCTCCAGGAGAATCACAGTAATGTAACAGTACTGCAGCCAATCTGAACCTACAACAACTCACTGAAAAGCTGGGGCACAATGAGGCTGTTTGAAGAATGACTCTTACTCTGGTGTGTTGATCCAGATGATGTCCAGATGGCAGTAATACACACATTCCTTGTCTTTGTAAGTATAACATGTGCACCTCTTTACACGCTTCCTGGCTCCCGGCGAGCCACAGGCAGAGCAGAGCTTGGCACCACTGTGAGAAGCGACTCTGGGGAGGTTGTCGACACGGTCAGGCACCATCGCCCTTGTGCTCAGCTGGAGCACTTCCACCTCCCTCCTTGGGCTCACATCTTTGCTAGATGAGGAACCTGCAGGATCACAGTACTGTGAGAAACTCATTCTATAGTATTTTAGTAGATACTGTAGAGTGTGTCTATAGCCGTCCCTGGTAGGATAGTGGTTAAGGCACAGCGCTCTCGCCACTGCACCCTGGGTTCGAATCAGGGTTGCGTCAGGAAGGGCATCCAGCGTAAAACACATGCCAAATGTCAACATGTGAGTCGTCAGTGTGACGATTCGCTGTGGCGACCCCTAAACAGGAAAAGCTGAAAATGACTTTCTTAGTGTGTCTGTGTACATGAAGTTCATACAAAATATTTTTTATAACCAGTGGCATTCCTACAACAGACGCTGTGCAGAATATTGTTGGGCTGAGAAGGACCACAGGATTTTGAGATGCGTTGGACAACTTTGGCTGGAAACTGTAAACCTGCCAGGCCTATGTCCCTGTGGGGACATTCAGTGTGTGCGTGAAGTCACCAGACCAGGCCTTATGATATTTACATATGGGGCTCTATTTTCCCGCCAGTGTAAAGCCAGAACAGCTTCAAACACAGTCTGTATGCTTGGGTGTAGACCTGTTCAGACTACATTTCAACACAAACACTGGTGCATTGCACTTTTCCTAAAAACTGTGAGAACAGATAACAGCCACACCGACATAAAAGAAGCCTAAATCTACAAGTAATTTCACTGCGAATAATATATATTGACATTATAGGAATTATGAAATATGTGCGATAATTTAGAAAGATAATTTTCAAATAATATAGATAAACTACTCCTCAGTACGGGGCTAACAAGAATTTGGTCAAACTTGCCAAGTGTCAGGATGCACCATCTCCTTAGAAGATGCAGCTGTGACTAAATGACACTATAAATGATGCAGGTTACAGGACCAGAGTTTTTCTCTCTTCAATGCACAAAGCTGTCAACTCAAAGTTGTGGTAAAATGCCTTAAGGACAACAAAGTCAAGGTACCGGAGTAGCCATCACAAAGCCCTGACCTCAGTCCAACAGGACTGTGAGCAAGGAGGCCTCCAAACCTGACTTAGCTCCACCAGTTCTATCAGGAGGAATGGGTGAGAATTCCAGCTACTTATTGCAAGAAGCTTGTGGAAGGTATCCTGAAATATTTGGCCCACCTTAAACAATTTAATGACAATGTTACCAAGTACTAACCAAGTGTATGTAAACTTCTGACCCAATGGGAATGTGATGAATGAAATCTTTCTCTCTACTATTCTTCACATTCTTAAAATAAAGTAGTGATCCTAACTGACCTAACACAGCGAATGTTTATAGGCCTAAATGTTGTGACAAACTGTGTTTGGCTAAGATGTATGTACATTTCTGCCTTCAACTGCAGAAATCACACTTGCAACCAGTTAAAATTGAGAAACGATGACTCAACCTTTGTGTGTGTGGACCACACTGAGCATGGAGAAAAGAAAGAAGAGCAAAGAACTGTCTGAGGATCTGAGAACACGTCTACTGTTATGTTGGCGTTGTGTGTTTAAAACATGAAAATTGTTATTATTGTGTCATTCACGTTTTGACTCCTCTAGTACTGGCTATTTAATCTGAATGCTGCTGAACTGTGTTACAACAGACACACAAAGCCAACTGAGGTGAATTTTTGATTTGTGATATTGGATATTTATACAAATAATGGGCCTGACACCGTTAACTGACAGATAACAGACTAATGCTTTGATTCACCTGTTAAGACTTCTCCTCCATTAGTTTAGTTATCTAGACAGTGTGCTATCAGCGTGTGCACAGCAGCTTGTCCCGCTGTGCACAATAAAAGACGACTCACAGCACTACTCACCATGTGCTAAGGAAGCTGTCACGACAAGAAACAGAAGTCCCACATCAATAGATGACACGAAAGCCATCACACATGAAGCCTCAGAAAATTAAAAAACAAACAAACAAAAGTTGAAATGTCCGAATAGGACAGTCCGACGGTCCAAAGCGTCAGCTGGGTCGCTTCTGTGTTTATCTGTGAAGCAGTGAAGTTAACATTTAACAAGTAATTGCTGACCGAATGTAGCGCCGCTCTGTTCGCTTCTGTCAGCGGACTCCCTTTTATCGCGCGAACATCCCGCCACAAGTCAGCCGCAAAATCACGCAAACTTCCGGATACCGTTGTCACAATAAAAGTCATCTAGTCAAGGCTAATGAAAATTGGAAACGCGGTTCCGATTAACCTCCGGCCACTGCTGGCATTTATTAAGAAGTGTTTAACGGAATTAGTTGCGAAACTGTATGCAACTTACAGAATTTACATACCTAGTCCCACAAATTCAATGTTAAAAATATTGGCCTCAAACGTAAAGTATATTTACATGATATTGGAATCAATTTTATCATCTAAGTGCTTGGATGTTGCTACAAAGCAAAGCTCTCTTTATCACTCTCACGGGTCTCTAAGTCACTAAAGTAAAGAATGACAGTGTATACATTAATTCAAAATAATGCTAAATGATAACTTCATTGCATGCACACACTAAGTCTGATTAAACACATTTCCAAATTTCCATTTTCTAGAAGTAGTAGGCTAGAAACTGAGAAGCCTTTGAGAACTCCTAGCCCAGCATGGCGTTGCATTATATGACAGTTTCAATGTAGTGCTGTCTTGATTTTCATTTTATTTATGTGAAATACATTTATTTCTCAAATCAATTTTCCAATGTTGCATTTTGTAGCATGAAATCACAGCGATGTTCCAGAGAAACTAGTACTGAGAACCAGAATTGTAATTTATATGAATTTGTTGTTGTTTTTTTCTGAAGAACCAAGAAAAACATTTCTTTCTTTGGTATTCAGGTGATGTTTTCTGACTAACAAAAATGTGGGGATTACTTTTACAACTTTGCTATAGATAACAAAAATGTCTGTGCTTTGATTTTCAGACTTGCAGCCTGAATGCTACTTAATCATGTAGCTTGTCAGCCAGTTTCCCACTGTCTGTGTCTAAATGTCTTTCTATAGAAGCAAGTCCAAAGTTAATTCATATCTTACCTGGTCAGCCAACAGGCTATAACTGTACATCTAAAGTTGGCCATCATTTAAGAGCTGCATATTCACTAACAGACGAGTTCCTAATCTTTGTTGTTTTTTTGGCTGAATTTATTTTCTGTCAGCCAGGTTGTAGTCTGGAGCCCTGTGATGTTTTGACAGAAAACACACTGATATGGTGTGTGGAGTGGCAGGAATGTCTTTCACAAACTACCTAGCATGAGAATGGGTGGAAATTAGAGCCTCTATTTCACATAGATCCATAAGGAAAATAATCAGACTAAAACACTTGGCCATTGTTCCTTGTGAGATCAGTAGCTAGAACCTATGTGGTTGTGACCACAGTGGTCAGCCCTGATTGAACCGGAGTATATACTGTTACATATGGGGGGAGGGGGGCCTAAATGATTTGCTTGACCTTTTTTGAAAAATTGCATGTTGAAACCTTTGGGATCTTAGTAAAGTTCATTGAAAATGTTATTAAAAACGTTTCTTCCACCAATGCTGATGGGATTTGCCAAATTTTTTACCTGTAACACATGGTGTCTAAAACGTCTACACCACTCAGCCCTCTGTGTTCTGCTGACATCCCGGCCCTGTCTAGACGAACCATGGCCACTCACCCCTAAATTGCAAAGGTTCAGCAATGAGTACTTGTTTGTCAAAGGCTCCACATAACAGGAAAATTAAGCAAACAGAGTGTTGGGCCCCTTGTCTAGACAAATGTGTGATGTCTACAGTGTCATGTTGAGCAATATTATAATGTAGATTTGGATTTTTAATTGTGTTATTATTACAAATGTCTGTGAGGTTTTCTTACAGCTGGAAAGGGCACAAAAATACAAGTTTCAGTGCTAATCTGTAAAAGCCATAATATGAGAATGAGAATAAGTTAATTTAAATAACATAACATTTATACTTAACATATATAACATAACATTTATACTTTATCATAGGTTGTATTTATAGTACAATTTTTAGTAAATGTATGTAAAACTAATCTAAATAGAAAGGCATGCTTAATTCATGTTATCAATGTTCCTTTATTAGAGTGAGTGGCGTAACATGCAGAGTAATACAGAGGGCTGCATTAGCCACAGGAGCATAGTTTTGTGACACAATGTAATTAAGACTTTTCCTTTATTAAAAGTTCTTAACACTGGATTACATCCCCCTTCCTTCTGAATGTCCAAAAAGACCACTTATGAACTGTAGGCATAGTAACTTCAGTTTGATGTGAAGGAATGCTGCTACACAACTGTATTTCAGTGCTTTGTCACTATGAGGAATGAAGTGTTGGCAGCAGAGGTGTTACTCACTCTGAGAGCCACAATCAAATGATCAGAGGATGTATCACATGGAGTTTTATAGTTCAGGGACATACAGCTAACATGCTTGTGTGCTGAGTCAAAGTTAATGTCAGGTTGGCTTTGCTGATATTGGACATAACAGGTTCAGTGCTTTCCAGGTCCCTGCACATTGTTTCTGACCAACACTGTATTTCTGTGGTCAGTAAATACACAGATGTGTTACCCATGCTTGGTAAAACTGAACCAGTACTCTGTTCTTTGCTCACACCAGATTGGGTCAGAATTAATACATCAAAGTTTCAAACATCTTGGGGAAATATGTTTTTAAAGGGAGAGCTGTGGCTCGGGAGAGCGGTCGTATCCCATTTGGAAGGTTGGTGGTTTGATTCCCGGGGTAATAACTATAATTATAATAATATAATTGGGTGTTGTTGCCTCATAGCAAAATGGATCCAGGTTTGAGCTCGGGCTGACCCGGGGCCTTACTGTGTGGAGTTTGTATGTTCTCCCTGTGCCTGCGTGGGTTCTCTCCAGGTACTCCAGCTTCCTCCCACAGTCCAAAGACATGCAGCATAGGTTGACTGGTGACTCTAAACTGCCCGTAGGAGTGAGTGTGGGTATGTCTGGTTGTTTGTTTCTTGTTCAGGAATAAGCAATATAAAAAATGGATGGTTGGATGGATAATATAATTCCCAATATGTCAAATTTTGAACACAGCTGAGTGAGTAATACTGTTTGTTGTATACACTTTGTCACTGATATATCAGTTTCTTTTTGGTGTCTCACTCTGACTCAAATGTGTTACTAGAGAACAAGCTATATTCTTGAACATGTGTCTAATGGCTCCTGTGAGTCAATATACCAAAGACTTTATTATAAAAAATTCCTGATTAAACTCTATTAAATATCGCGAAACAAACACACACTATTTGTGTCCCTTCAAGTGTTGTCATATTAAACTGTTAAGTAGGATCACGATTACCCAACAACAACATTTATATTCTTATTTATGTTGCTTTATGGATATAAAGCAGACAAATACTGGACATAAGATTATAGTAGCGGTGAATGAAATTGCATCCATCCATCCAACTTGTACTTTGCTTTACTGTAGTTCACCTGCAAACCATGCTCTCATCAAAATGATGTCACAATGACTGGAATGAAAAAAGGCCTATATGTGAGAATATTTATACGATGTCAATGCAAAGTCAAAGTGTCTGTCATGAGAAAGGTGGAGATAGTATGTAAAGGTAATAAAATCTTTAAAGATGTTTCCTGGCTCATAGATTATTCTGTAAGCCTTTTGTTATTAGCTGCAGTAATGCAATGTTTTCATCAGATGACTGAATTCACATAATGGCACAGACTGGGTTCAGAGACACTGTGATCACTTAATCACTGTTCATGCACTATGTGTGGGCCAGGCTTGCAGCTTATGGACCAGAGCCAGCCCAGTTATGAGAAAAGTGGTCTAAATCAATCAAGAAGTCAAATATTTTAACCCTGTTAACCTGTTCAGGGGCACACAGGGCTGAACATGTCGTTGCCTACATTGAGCAAGAGGCAGCTTTCACTCAAGATAGGTTCCTTATCACAGGCTAACACATTCGGTATACAGTGACAAATAGCTTCATAGCTTCCCATTTTCACCTACAGGCAATGTGGAGTTTTTGATTTACATAACTTACATGTGTTTAAAGTGTGGGAGGAAACTGCAGTGTAGTGTCAACAGGAGTTCATTCCTTTGCTCATGTACCCTGTGAAAAATAAAGGTCGAGTGTCTAATGTAAGTCAGTTTGAGAGTCTGCCACTATCATCAGTCTTCGGTGTCACCATCAGTGTAAACATAAGCTAGTGTACCTTGCTTAACTGAGAATGTTTTATGACCCACCTGCTGCTGGCAGACAAAAAAAACAAACAGACTAGAAGCCATAGAGTCACATAATGCATAGTCAGAGTAGTGTCCATGTTCAGGTCTCAGACTGGACTGGACTGTACAAGTCCAGTAGCTCCTGATTCCTTTATACAGTCTGTATTAATTGTGTATTTTCTGTGTCCATGCTCATACTGTAGCACAAACGATGTGCAGATGGTGGCCAACCATTTCAGGAAGTCAGGAGTCTAAATATGGTCCACACTTGAACTGAAATGACAGTATTTACACCTCCCCAAACACATCAAACCCAAAAAGACAAACACACCAGAGTTTGTTTGAATCACATAAAAGAGGTTACCACTGGGATGCATATAGCACACCGTTAAAGGCTGCGGAACACAGCATAAAAAAGAAACAAACTGGAAAGGTAAAAATCACTAATCACCTTCCTGATCTGAACCATTTCATTCAGTTACAAATACAAGCTACAAATTTCCCTTCAGGGACAGCTAATTTAAAGTTAGAAAAAGATTCATTTGTATGTATACTGAACAACTTTAGTTTATCCTTTACATTTGCATTCAATGTGTGAAATTACGAATAAGTCAGACAGTGTTTCACTTGCTACTTGACAGGTGTGGTGTGAATGGACCTTTGTTAGCCAAGTAGACAACAAGATGTTCCATCAGACCACTGAGCCTAATACCACACATGTACAGTATAATTAATATAACAACAGCACTTTCAACAACGCAACACCATGCAGATGACAAAATTTGAAAGAATTTAAAAAATTTTATTTCTAAATATTGGCACAAAAAATCTGCTATTGTCCGCTTCAGTCCAGAGGTATCATCTGGTTTATGGGTCTTTGAAAGTTTTGATTCCTTGTGTAAAGTCAAGTCTGATTAACCCACAGCTGGCTCACCCACTGAAGCCTCAAGCCAATTTGGATGTACTCGGTGACCATCTGGGGAACTACTGAAATTCTGGACATGTTGAACTTGCTGCCTCAGTGTTCCAGACCTTTCCTGTCTTGGTCTGGAATTTAGGAGGACATACTGTCATGGTGTACAAATGCTTTTGCAACTTGTTGGAACTGCTATTTGGCAAAACAAAAAGAATGTCAGATTCCCTAACAGATGTGCAACTTTTTCAATGACTTGTTGGTTTTCTAAAACTATGATTGGTTTCTCACCAGAGGCATGAAATCTGAACTATATAATGTGTCATCAGCTCTGATGTGTTCATCAAAAGGAGACCGGCCTCCCTGATAAGCCTTCTGGGGATTAACTAGATTTGTTCCACTGGCTGAGGTTTTAAAGAAAATCTAAAGACTCTTGTGCAATAACTCTGTGTTTGTAGTTTGTAATATTAAAGCAGTAAAATGACAATGTTTATTGTGGCATAATCAGTTATAGATGATTTTTGGATGTAGGTACCATTATATTACAACATACAATATGAAGGAATTTACTGGCCATGCAGCAGCCAGCGTGGCCTCAGTGACAGATGACTGGGTAGGCTATATAATGATGGTGGGACTTTGGTTGATCATATTTAGATGTGGTTCAATACCACTTTTTCATGTCCAATACCAATACCACAACCTTGAGTATCTGCCAAAATCAATACCAATCCAATACCATCTTTCAGCTGTTAAGAGGAGGATGCCTTTCATGCTTTTAATTCCCTCATCAGTCTTCTTTTTTTGTGTGAGAACGTACATATTTAAGGACACTAACAACAAGGCTGACATCAGATGGAGGTGAAGAGCTTACCTCCCTTGTCAACTTCTCAAATGGGGCTAGAATGGTCTTTTCCAGTACCCCCCACTGGTTTGCAGTCAATGTGGCTGGCATGTCACGTTCTGTTGCGTATGCACACAGGGCCCATTTCTGTGTAATGAGCTTCTCAATCGTGAAATTTGTACTGTTCCACCTTGTTTGTATATCTTGTTGCAGACACTTGAGTGGCATATTCAGCTCCACTTGAATGTCCTCCAAACATGAATGGGCAACTGCTGAGTGCCTGAAGTGACCCACAATTTTTCTGCGGATAGCCAATGCATCACTTACACTACTCTGTGATAGCAGTTCCTCGTTCAAAATAAGCTGCACAACACATCCCAAACTGGGAACTCCAAAGTGATCAGTTGCTTTTTTGCATTATGACTGGGCCAGTGGTGCAATGGATAGCGTGTCTGACTACTGATCAGAAGATTCTAGGTTAAACTCCTGGCTAGCTTGCATACTTTTGGGGTGACTGTGGCTCAGGTGGTAGAACGGTCAGCAGTTTGAGTTCCATTCTTTCCAGTCCACATGTCAAAGTGTCCTTGGACACTGAATCCCAAGTTGTTCTGGGACAGCGCTGCCATCGATGTGAGTTAGTGCTGTAGGCTGCCTTGGTTCTGTACTGGAAATATATTCCTTGTGTGTGTGCAACATACTTGGCCAGTGAAAGTGATTAAATTCAATTTGATTAAAAAAAAATTTATTTACTAGCATTGTCTCTTAAAATGACATGGTCTTTATGTTTCTCAGTTTTCCATGTATTTAACGTCTCCTCCATTGCTGCAGCAATGAACTCTCCTGTGTGTGAGCCATGAAACTGTTTAGCCTGCAGCACTGCTTTATGCTGAGCTCCAGACATCAGTTGTGAAACTAATCATAGTAACAGTAAGGGGTTGGTCATCCAGTTCAGTGAATTCAGTCACTTTCTCCATTATCAGCGTTGCTTTGTTGCTGTTAGAGCAGAGATTCTCACATTTCTGAATAGTTTCCCGCAAAGTTTGTTGTTGCGGCACACTTTTCTTCTTTGCGCTTGTAGCATGCATAAATCCAGCATATGCCTTTCTGTATTGCTTCTGCATGTGATTCGCTGAAGTTTCCAGCACCACCTCTTGAAACGCTCACATTGCTTAAATTGCACTCGGCTTTACTTTTTCCTTCCTTGAGTTTAAAATAATTCCACACAGCTGGCATGGTAACTACTGACAGGTCTCACCTCTCACTCACATTCTAGCTACTGTTCACATGATGCATACTGCTCATCTCTCTTCATGGCATGTCGCTCAGGTGTCATTAAGCATTCGTGTGATAGTTTAGGGCTAATGGTTTCTGATTATATTGGACTGGATTATACAATATCCAGTCCAGTGATTTTGGCCAATATGGGATTAACACCAATACTGAATACTGGATTGGTACACCCCTAATCATATTACACATTCATGAACATATATATTTTTATTAGAATATAGAATTTGCCTAGTTACTGTATGAAGGACCTCTGTGAAGGCTTAAAAGCTAAGGGTGAAAGTTCATTCTTGTAAACTGTAAATAGTCTGTGAAGCTGTTCTTAGGTTTAATGCTTTAAGCTAAAGACTAACACCAGTAGTAAAATTCCCCTTCATTTTAACCCTAAACAAAGACCTGTGATTGGAGCACATCTTTGGCTGGGGTGGACATGAAACTCTCCTGTATAAAAAAATATAAAAGATGAACAAATGCATCATGGAGAAGTTGAACCCACAATCCTGAAAATGTTCAGAGGAGAAGCAACATTAACCAAGCCATTCTTGGATCCTGAGTCATTTCTGGATGAATTCAGCAAATATGCCACTGTGTTTGGTTCACAAATGTAATGACAAGGTGTTTTTTTTTGGCTACCACTCTGATTCACCTCAATGGGAAAATGGGGAAAACACTTATTGACACATTCTATTTGGATATACATTTATCAGGTGACCAGATAAAAGATTCCAAATAAATACTAATATAGCAATTGTTGGATCACATGTGAACAACTTTGTAAAATGCTGATGTGTTTGTCTTTGGCCCCCTAGGCCAAAAAGAAAGACATGAGTCCAAGAGACTAAGTCAAAGGTTTAAATGAAGAAGGGGCTCATACAATCAGACCAGAAAAAACATGAGTTTGAGTACAATTTAATTTACTTCTTCTTTTAACACAAAATGATGAGCAATGCATCTGAGATGAGTTTGCATTTGCTTTGTCAGTTATGTGTGCATTTGTGATCTTTAACAAAAAAAATAAAATTTAAAAATGAAAAATTAACACAAAGATAAATCAGCTTGTACAATAACTGTGACTGTAGATGGTGGCACATTTTTCTGTCTGCCTTTCCTTTGCGTCCAACAGGATTGGAAACTCTTCTAGCATGTCAAACCAAATAGGCCTGAACAGATACATATGAGATAAAGCCCATTAAGCATTACTGCACACATACACCTGTCAAATCTCGAAAGGTTTATGGCCACTAATGGGCTGACAATTGATAAGCAAGTCAGCGAGAGCTTTAGCTGTGCATTTATGTACAAAAATGTTTGCATTTCCTGTTCCCATGAGCCCTGGTGTCCGATTACAGCTGCTGACTCATTCCCAAATCTAGACTGGGAAAAGGGGTCATGCCCCACCAGTCAAGCCAGTTCCTGTTTTACCTGCATGATCTGATCAGCAACTTAATGGCTATTTGGCAGCATGTGTACATGGCTCATACAGACAGGTGCTATCTGGGAAGGTAGTGAGAAGGTTACAGAGTGCAATTTATAGGAGAGTGTGGGAAAGCTGTAGCAATTTGTGTGAGCAAAACAGAGGTTACAGTGTTTCTTAGAGGCAGAACTAATCCCGCCGGTTGGGATCAATAGCAGAAGAAAGCCACTTTTCTGTCAACACTCATTGAGAAAAGCATTACGGAGAGGAGGGGACTAGCAATGTGAAGCTAGCAGTCTTGCTGCGAAAAAAATTAGCCATGCAGATTTTTCAGTGATTGTAGATTTTTCCTAAACGGGGACAGTTACTTTCATATAATGATAAGTTAACAGACAACGAGTGCAGAACAGAAATGTCATTCTGTTTAACAATATGACATGGATGCAGCATTTGCTCGCACTCAACCTACATTATACTTGCAGAATTGTCCACTGCCCTTTTAATGTATTATTTGTAATGGGAAAACATGACAGTTCATTTTATTCACTTATTGACGTGTGGTTCCATTCAGCCCATTGAGATAATCAACCACTGTAAATAAAATTCAGATAGTGTATATGTATGTTCACTTTTCTCCTAAAGCAATGATAAGCTTTCCCTCATCGTCACTACTGCTGGTGTCTCCTGCGTAGTCTTGGCAGCTTTGTACAGGCCTCACTCCACTGGTCAGACACTCAGCTGACTGGTAGCCTTGAAGCTGACCAGCCAAAAGAAGAGACTGGTATTTGTTGGTAGTGTCGGGTCTCCCAGAGTTACTGCTCTGCACTGTGTAGTCATTTGATGCCCAATCCTTGGTGTTCTGCTCAGGTTCTGCATAATTAAAGGTCTTTGATGGCAGCCTATTGTCCAGCATATTATTATCTCCTTTATAGCCAGCAGTGGCTCTGCTGCCTTGAACAGAATGAGAAACTTGGCAGTAGTGTCTGATGGATGATGTTTTAACATCAGGTGAAAGACTTGAGCTTTTCTGCTTTTGGTCTTGCTTCTCATCCTGAAGTGGAAATCTTTGCTGAGGGCTGCACTCAATTTGTGAAAAAGCATTCTGTGACTTGTCTTGCTCTTTGATATGTTCACTAGAACTGAATTCGCTTAAGATCCTCTGTGCTTGGTGGTTATGGATGATACTGCTTTCCCAATGTTGTTGTGAGAAGTAAAAGTTGCTCATTTCCAGAAGGGGCTGGGCAGAATTAAAAAGGCCAGTTGTGCCACTGCTGACGGGCATATTAAGGTTACCTGATGAGCTTGGAGCTTGCAGAGGGCTCTGTGGAGGGCATTCAAACATTTCTGAGTGTGTCTGGGAATGATGCTGAAGATCCTGCTCAGATAGCCAAGAATTTTTACAGGAATCTGCCTTGACCTGTTTGTCTTCTCCCTGTTAATTAAAGAAGAATATAAGGATGAGTATCACAATAATACAGTCATTATCCTCCCTCCACTGAACATTCTTGATAGTTTCCTGCACTGCTGAAATACCACAAAGCTTAATATGTCTGTTGACCTGTAAACTATGGCACAAATCATCACAGGGAACAAATCCTATATTGCTGGAGCATTCTGTTTTTAAAAGCACTCAACTATTCACTATACAGCTTGTTTGTACTCATAGAGAGGAAAGTTTACTGCGGAAACAGACCTCTGCCCATATAACTACTCTCAGCTGTTTGCTGCTGGTATTGTTTTAATACTGAAGTTTTAAAGATTTGCAAAAAGCTCATAAATCCTCACTGTCTCTATGTCTTGCCACTGTGTGTGGCTCAGTTATGCACACTTTGGTTTAGTTTATTTATGGTAAATGTCTTTAAATTGAAATACATTTTTGTGATGTAGCAAACCTCATACTTGAAACCTGCTTGCATGTGATACCCAGATCAGGACCGTGTGAATACTTAAAAAATAATTAAAGCAATAAAAACTATGTAGAAAGAACTCTGGATTGGAATAAATTCTTTATATTTAGTTTCTGTTTTTCTCAATTGTGTTTCATTGTGTTTTTTGGATTTTACAGCATGAAAAAATACAAATTGTATGTATAATAAACAGGCAGTGCAGTGAATAAGTTCATTCAGTCTCACCACTGGCTTTAGCATATCTGATGAACCCATGTATCTGCACTTAGTCTTGGTGTTACCCCACTGGTCTGGCACCTGGTCTGACTTGATTCCTCTGTTATTATCCTCTCCCATCACCGCTCCTCCACCCTGCCCCTCTACGCTATGGTGGTTTGTCTCTCCAGCCTCTCGACTCTGCTTTGGCCTCCAATCTGTGCTGTCTGGCTGCCCAAGGCTCAATCCTCCATGAGCCCATGTCTGCGACTCCTTCTGGGCTGCACATCCCATCTGGGAGGCTCCCTCTGTGAGCCCTAGGGGAGGAAAAACAACCAAAATCTAGTTGTTTTTAGGAGGGTGAATTGTCTACGATATGGCAGTGTTAATCCATCCATTTTACCTTGCCAGTGTTAAAACTAAGTTGGGGGTCTTACAACTTACAGTATTCAAAAGCTGGGATGCAGAAACTTGAATTACATTTTCTTTTGGATTGAGTCTATAAATACATATTAAGTGAATGGCATATTTGGTGGTTGGGTATAAAAGCAATTTTCCTGATAAAAAAAAACTTGCACAAGCTTTTGCATGCACAGCGCTCTAAGAAAACCCACATAGACCAGTAGCACACCTCCTCTGTCCACTCCCCTTTGAGGTTTTTCATGTAAAACCTCGACGGTGTTACCATAGACTAGCTGCAAGCATTAACCTTAACCTGGCAAACATAATAATCTGCAGGGAAATTACATTTCCAGCAACTGCCTGAACTCTGGTGTCAGTGACACCAGGACAGCTAGACACTGTGTTTGTTGTTTAGAGGTTGTCATGCTCCTGCCCCTCTTGCTTCCTGTCATGCTTTTATTTTCTCATCACTTCCTGTTTTGTTTCACCTCAGTTTTGGCCCTTTTATTTAATCATCATTAGTTCACCTGCTCCTTATTGTTTGCACCTGTTTTTCACTTCTATTTAGGCAGCTATACCTGTTAACCGGCGCCGACCCTGGACTGTCTTATTGACCTCGAGTTTGGATCCCCTGGCTATACCTGTTAACCGGCGCCGACCCTGGACTGTCTTATCGACCTGAGTTATATCCTGGACTTTTGTTAGTTGTTTTGTTTACCAGTAAAGAACTTTTCGCTACCTCAGTTCGTCTGGTTATTTAATTGAGTTCACTACAACCTCTGTTTGGCAGCTGTACACGCCAAACCTGACAGAGGTGGTGGATGGAGGTCTCCCACTGACAGCTCTTTTGTTTATCCTGTGCTCCCCAGGATAGGGGGAGATAACTCTGTTATTGTCTGTAATCCGCACCTTCTTTAAATGAAAAAGGAGCTAAGTTGGTGTTTTGTGTTATGTTGAAGAACAGATGACATTTTCAAATACTGCAGGGCACTACAGCTCTCTGTAAAGGTCTGGGGGTCATGGTCAAAATTAAAGCCACATGCACCTGCTGTTTTATATTAGCATGAAGAGATTTTGTAAGCAAACTGGCATTTGATTACTTTGTCTATAATTTAAATTATCCTCCTAGAGCATTTCATTCCTTTCCCAAAGCTCTCCACAGCAGTTGCAAGTTTTGGTGATTTTGTTGTACTCAAAATCTGGTTCAGATTCTGTGGGCCTATGGACATTTACTCCCATCTTGTGGTAGAAATGGGTTCTTCAAACATCATTAAAAACTAATACATGGTTGTGCATTTTTTGTGTTGTCTCTGTACTATAGGACACTGGACAGGTAGCTATACAATAATTATGAGGTTAAAGAGCCTGAAAGGTTAATTCAAGGCAGGTTACACCAGATGAACAGTGTGGGTGCACTTAATCTATGTTAGCTCCAATAATTTGTTAAAAATATAAAACTGAATATACCTGTAGAAGGGCTCTGAATATGTGTAAGCACAGCTGGAGTGTTTCTGGGTCTTTCCACCTGGATGTTAGAGGTCACTGACGTAAACAAACCCAGTTGTTGTTCTGAGTGGGCTGAGCAGATTACATCCTGTGATTCATTGAAAGTCATTTCCTGTAAAGGGGAAGAATTGTCCAAAGGTCCCACCCTGTCACAGCCCCTGCTTGCTTGTTGAGATGGATTCAAAGTCTCAGATAATGTAGGTTCTGCAGGATTACCGCTGTAGATGGATGCTTGTGGCTTCAGCTGTCTTGGAGTTTTGCATTTATTGAAAGAAAATGTAGAAACTAACCCAGAGAGTTCATCTGCACCTGCAACACTGGAGGCCTGACTTGATTTAACCTGGAGCGAGGGATGAGGCTCTCCGCTCTCTAACCTGCTGCTAAGTTTCTGTTGGCTTTCTTTTTCTAAAAGATCACTTCTTGTGCTATTCTGATTGACTGTGCTGGGAGAAAGACAGGTCACACTCAGGCTGTGCTGGCCAGAGAGTGTTTGTGAGACCAGTTGACCTTGGCTAACCCTCCTATCCAGCAAAAGCTGCTCCTCAGCACAATGGTTCAGAGAAGGGGTACGCTCCTCCTGTGAAGTTTGTCTCCTTCCTGACTTTACACCTTTGTGCGAAGCAGCAGCTGACATAGCGCTGCTTGAAGAGTTCAAGGTCTCTGTGGCAGTGTTTACATGACTGTATTTGTGTGGGTGTAGCATCAAGCCTAGAGTTTCAGGAGGCTTAGATTCAGCTGACACTGCAGCCTGACTGGAATTACTGTGTTCAATCATGTGGATGTTTGGCTGCACCTTCCCAAAGTGGACAGACAGCGGAGGTTTTGTGCTCTCCATGTGAAGTGTGGCTAAGGACCCACTTTGGTCCATCTCCTTCTGATGTCCCAGATGTTGATGGCCCCTTCCCTCGCTGCTAATTTCCATGGTGACAGAGCTTTGAACTTTACTCTGGGTCACTTCAGGGCCCAGTGCTTCCATGCTTCTCTGTGAGAGGCTGCTATCTGCTTGATTCTCAATCTGCGGTTCAATGAGAGCCAGCTGCTCATCAGATATGAGCTGGAGGCAGATCTGGAGGTCAGCGGTGTGAACATGAAACACGTTCTGAGCAGCTGGTTGTACCATGTCACATGGTACAATATGACAAGGTACGGATGCGGTGTTTGGGCTGGCATATGCTCTGTTTACAGGGTCTGATGCTGTTGAGAGTTGGGAATGTGACAGGGGAGGGTTAGAGTTAGACTGACTTTGTGAGAAAGCTGTAACAGCAGCAGTAGATGTCTGATTGCTTGCTGTGGTTATGAGAGGCATAGCAGGGATGTGTGCAACTGTAGGTTCAACAGGTCTGTGCAACTGCAGAGGCACTGAGGCCGTGTCAGATCTTGAAGGCTGTATCGAAGTGCTGCATAATCCTGACTGATAATCTTTTAGGCAGGTTGTGGTTATTGTGGTTGCTGCAAATGGCCTCTGCACTACAGATAGACTAGGTGCTGCATTTTCATTGAACCTTGATGTTTTAACCTGGCAAAGGGTTGTGGCCATGCAGGGTGAGAGAAGATGAGCTTGTGTGGTACTGAAAGTCTTTTTCATTTCACAAGTCTGCATCAACGGTGAAGTGACAGGATCGCTGTCTTTCTTTTCAGAAGTTGTGACCAAGGGTGAGGTTTGGTCATTGTGAGAAGATGATAAAGCAGAGGTGAAAGTGTGGTCTTCAATTCCTGTTGGTTTATCCCCAACATGCAGTGAAGTATTTGAATCAGCATTAGGTAGCTTGAGCTGGTACTTGGGCAGGAAGCTGGTCTTGGCAGCAGAAGAGATGGAAGTGGCTGGTGAGGTGTTAACAGACAGTGCATTTGCATTGATTATGCATGGCGGGAAGAGAACTCCCTTAAGCTGCATGTGTTTTTGATTTGTTTGAAGGTTGATATAACTGAGATGTGTATCGTGCTGAGGTCTACTGCCAACAATGGAGGGAGGGGGATGACTCATTGTGCTTGGGTTGACCTCCATCTTCAATGGAGAAGTGATTTTGTCATCAGTTCTCTGCTTTTTCCTGTCAGAGGGGACATGGGCTCCACATAGTTGTGGGGTGGGATCAGTATGTTTTTCTTCATTTGTCAATCCACCTGTCTCTACACTACTCAGGCTGCTTGTTTTGTGCCCACCCAGGGATGCAACTGAAGGCAATGGCAATATAGACAAAGACAGATTTCTGCGGAGTGGAGTCTTGAGAAAGCTATTTGATGCATGAAGATGACTTGTTTTTAGATCATAATCTGCAGCAGAGATGAGGGATGGCTTGGCAGGAGGGCAGCCTGGGTGGCACACAGTTTCATTGCTGCTTGTGATGTTTATCGCTGAACCTGTTGTTGCTATGGTCTCCTTATGAACTGTTGATAACTTTTTTTTTGGACCCGGAACAACCTCATGCTCTGGGTTTATACTTTTCCTGCCTTTGATAACACCACTGTCACCGCCTTTTTCAACATTGTAGAGCTTCTTGAATGTCCCGCCCCCATACATGTACCACTTGTGGTAGGCAAACTTCTGTGCTTTCTTCCTGCGGAACTTTCTGTTGCTTGGCTCTCCACAAATGTCACCGCCATCTCCATCGCAGCTGAGACTGCCGGCACACACCTCCTCCACAGATGAATTCACGAAGAGAC